GGGGGGGGGGGCAGGGGGAGGGGTGTGAAGGGAAAGCACTGTCCTCAGAAGTGCAGGCTCCTCTCAGGGTCTTGTTCCCATTCTCCTTAAACTCCTAATTTGCTTGAAAAGATATTTCATTGGAAGAGATATGAAGCAAAGGCCCATCTACCTATTCCAGCAGCTGACTAGGAAGAAGTTAAAAATGCCAATATACTGCCCCTGGCCCCTAGAGAGAATATGGGAGAATAATCTAGGCAAACTGCCCTATACCAGCCCCTCTCCAGCACCCCCCATCAATGAAGCAAGCCTAACACCCAAGGTTTATGAGTGAGCCTGGGCCAAAAGCCTAGTTGCCAACAGATTCCGCTGCAGCCGCCTCGGCCCCCAGCACTGTCTGGTCCTGGGTTCTCTAAAGAAACCACTCTGACCTCAGGAGGAAGAGATGAGGGGGCCTAAGAGAGCACTCTCCCCTTAAATGCTGGTTCTTCCATGTGCTTGCTTCTCGGGCGCCCTCTTTACCGTGGCAAGGTGCCTACAATCTAGTCAACTTACTCTCTGTCTTCCAGCTGAATTCCTACGCCTCTGTCCGTAAAGAAATGACTCATGCAAGCCAGCTGAACTTGTCCTTTGTCACTTTTGAGTAAAAGCTAAGGATACAAAGACACTAACAGGAAATGATTATAAAATCTTCACCCCTGCCCTGCCGGCGTGGCTCCGTGTTTGAGCACTGACCTATGAACCAGGAGGTCACGGCTCAATCCCCAGTGTAGGGCATGCAGGAGGCGGCCGATCATTGATTCTCTTCATTATTGATGTTTCTATCTCTCACTCGCTCTCTCTCCCTCTCGGAAATCAATAAAAAATATATTTAAAAAGATAAAATCTTCACCCCTAGAAATGTGGCTTTGAGAACTCAGAAAATATAGGAAGATGTTAAAATCTACGACTCAACCAAACCCAGAGTGATGAGAGGCTAATCAGATTTTACGAAAAGAGCCATTTTATAGGAACTAAACTGAAGCCAGCCTGGTGAAGGGTCCTGTGGTTGAAGCCCGGGCCTCGGGCCAGCCGCTTGGGCTTCTGAGTGCTGAATCCAGGGCACCACAGAGCCTGTGGCCTTCTCTCTCGCTGTGGGAGCACTTAGTCATCCTTAATTCTATCTCTCACTCCCACCTCAGTGGGAAAGCAAATCACACCGAGTATCTTATTTCTCCCTCAAAGACAGGGTGACAGCTTGGGCTGGAGAGGGAGGTGATTCCAGGAAGCTCTCTTTATGCTGCCCTCTGGCATGTCTTCCCTGAGGCTGCAGTGTTATTTCACCCATGTCCTTGACTTTGAAGATGATTGTCAAAACAGAGCGGGGACACTCATGAGAGCTACCCCATCCCGTGGGAGTGACGGTGCAAGACATCCATCGAATTTATTTCGAAACTTTTTCAGAGCAGATGCTCTCTGGCATGTTCGTGGATGATCGAAGTGGGAAATGAAGGCTGGAGGCAGATATTCAGATCATGCCCGGGGAAAACGAGTTGCGGTGGCACTGGGGGAAAGGCTGAATTCATCAGGAGAGGAGCGAATCCAATCCAGCTACGCATCAGTCAATCGACCCCAACCCCTACTGTGTGCCAGGCTAGCAAGTGAGAACCAGAAATGAGAAGTGGTCCCTGCCTCCCGCCTTCAGGACCTCAGCCAGGAGGTATGTATGTGGCATAACGGAAAGACATTCATTCATAGCAGAATTCAAATTCTGACTGCCATTTATTAACTGTAAGATCATGGACAAGTAACAACCTCTGTGAGCCTCTATTTCTTCATCTTCGAAATGGGGAAAGAATATCCACTTACAAGGATATACATGTAAAGCACTAGACACATGTACAGTACTTGCACGGAGCCTGAAACGTCAATTTCTTCATGTGCAAAATGGGAACAGTCAGATCCCACTGGCTGTTGTGAGGACTAAGTGCGATGCGGCATTCGGCTCCATGACTGTGGAGGGGCAGGAAGCACCAGGGCAGCGAGCATGTGCCAGGCTTGCACACTGGGAAAGGACTAGCAATTGGGAGGTAATTTGCAGATAATTTGTAACTCTACTCGGGATAAACATAACTTCAACACCAGAAGGACCATTTGCAGAGACTTAAGTCAATATAGTTCATTTTGTAGCAATTTCAAGTCCACAAAAAACACACACACACAAAAAAAACCTTAAGGCTGCAAGTGAATACTGTCCTTGCTAAAATGAAAGGTTCCAAGGAACAGAGTGTCCTTCAGAAAACCTGCTATTACATTTGCAGAGACAACAGTGATCTCCGCACCCCACCCCCTTCTCTCACCAGAGGACGCTCAGAGCACACCGCACTCGTGAATTCTGGCCACAGC